CTTTCATTCATCAGACGGGGTATTGACTACAAGAGTTGGCAGGTCATGTTACAGTTGTATAGGACTTTGGTTTGACCACATTTGGAATACTGGGTACAGTTCTGGTCGCCACATTACCAAAAGGATGTGGATGCTTTGGAGAGTGTGCAGAACAGGTTCACCAGGATGTTGCCTGGTATGGGGGGCGCTAGCTATGAAGAGAGGTTGAGTAGATTAGGATTATTTACATTAGAAAGACGGGAGGATGAGGGGGGACCTGATTCATGAGAGGTATCGACAGGGTGGATAGCAAGAAGCTTTTTCCCCCCCCAGAGTGGGGGACTCAATTACTAGGCGTCACGATTTCAAGGTGAGAGGGGAAAAGTTTAAGGGAGATATGCGTGGAAAGTTCTTTACGTAGAGGGTGGTGGGTGCCTGGAATGCGTTGCCAGCAGAGGTGGTAGAGACGGGCACGATAGCGTCATTTAAGATGTATCTAGATAGATACATGAATGGGCAGACAGCAGAGGGATACAGATCCTTGGAAAATAGGTGACAGGTTTAGATAGAGGATCTGGATCAGTGCAGGCTTGGAGGGCCGAAGGGCCTGTTCCTGTGCTGTAATTTTCTTTGTTCGTTGTTGTTCATTTTTCATGCATATACGTGTGACAATAAAGCTAATTGTAACAATAGCTAACAGGTTCTCTCTCACATTGTTGACCTGGGACTTCAGATCCTTCACTCATGTCCCCAGAATGCAACACACCAATACTTCCCTGGGTATGATATACAAGAAAATCTAATTGTAAATCTAATAATGAAATCCCCAAAAACACAAACTTATCTGCTATTATTTGATTACTTGCTTCTTCAATGGTAAGGTACTGGATCAGTACCTTCAGTGTGAGACTGAACCTCGACAGAAGTCAGAGAACATTCAGATTCCCCAAGTGCGTACTGCTCACTCATCTATTCAGTGTGACTGCACATTATGAGCAGATTACACGGTGAGGTATTGTGCCACTTACCTAGGATAACATCACCAGTGATGGACTTAGTAACACTAACCCTGAATAAACTAGTTCCACCCCCACCCAGCCCCCCACCCCCAACAACCTAGGAACTGAGTCACACTAACCTTGTACTTCACTAGTCTCAGGTAGGATGTGTGTAGGGGTCTACTTTAGTCTATAGCTTCAGAAGAAACAAAAACACGAGTTTTCTCAACACCATCAAGGTGACTCAGCCTGCAGAGGGGTCAGGACAAATTGAATTTGTACTTGGAAATGAAAAGGAAGAGGTGTGGTCTAGTGGCCTTTCCTGTAGTTGCACCCTTCCAAAACACAACATTGCAGTCACATTCCCTTGAGTTGGTTCATCACCATCAGGATTTTGGGAGCGGTTGGTGAACTGACAGCTACCTATATGCAGGTATTCCCAAGAGCATACTCACTTCTCTTGCAAAGAAATGCTGACTTCTCATTGCAGTTCTCTGCATACCAGCTGTGCAATCCACGGTGCCGTAGGCTGGGCAAGTGGGAGCATTGCAGCTGAGCACATAACACATTCTCCTGTTCAGAGATGGTCATCCCAAAGAACGTTACCTTCTCTGGGGGAAGGAAGACTTCGGAGGAACCTACAGAAGGAAAAAGATATCACCAAAGCTGTGAAATACAGTGTGACATGCATTTATAAACAAAAATAGGATGCGGAGGATGGGTACATAATGGGAGAACCAGGGAGGGGTTTGATGGAGGTGTGGGGCCACGGAAGGAGTATCAGATTGGACAAAGGTGTTGTGAACAATTTGGCATCCTGCATACTCACTGCTCTTGTAGGCTACTTCCCATTGCCCCTGGAGGGAGGTGTGACTTCGGTTGGTTACCATGTATTGATAGCCAACCCAGAATCTGGAAAATAAAGCATTCAGCAAATGGATAATAAATTCATTATCTTCATCTCCAGCACCACATGCAAATAATAATAATAAAATTAATAATAAACCAAGGTTCAAGGAATAAAAGGCTCAATATTAGCTTGTATAAAAGGCTTAAGGGCAGACAACAGCATGTAAAGCATTGGTCTTCAGACCAGAGCATGGTCAACAGTGATGGTCCTGAAGGGTCAGTGCGAAGATGCATCTTGTGCTTTTTTGCTCGAAATTATTAAGTTAGACCTTAGAATGCAGAATGAAATCTCTAAACTTGTTTATAAACCGAGCTTGGAGTGACAAAACAGTTAGGTTGACACTAATCAACTGCATCATGACACAGAATAGATAGGGCAGAACAGATTGCTCCACGGATAGCCTACATTGACTTCTTGGGCCAAAGGTCCTCATTCCATTGTAATGACCCTGCAACTCTATTGTAACTCACAGGAGCATCAATGTTAGGAACCAGCCCCACATCACTTAGCCTGAAGCCCTATCCCATTTATTTTCACTTTACCTCTTACCCATTCTACTCTAATAATGCTCTGCCAAGCTCCAACTTGAGCCCCATTTCTCACCACCATGCTCCCTGGCTCGCAGCTGTCCATTGCATCATGCCTCCTTTACCCGCTCCACTCCCAACAGTATGTCTGCTCTCCATGCCCGCTGTCCTCCCACCTTGCCCTACCCCTTGTAAGTTTCCCTTCTCTCTACCCAATCTTCCCAAAACTGATTTTTTTAATCTTTATACTTTCCTTTGCCCACAGTCTCACCTGCGCTGGTCCTTGCGGCTCACTGGCCGCTCCTCCAGGTCCCACTCTTCAGCCAGGATGAACCGTAACTCCTGATCAGTCGTGAAGGTGGCCAGTGATCCATTCACTTGCTGACACATCTGGACAGCATCCCAATAGTTCTCGCTGTTTAAATACACTCTGTAACAGCTCGCTGTCCCTTCATAGTGATGCCAGCCAGTTGGGCACTTCCCTACCAACAACAAAAAGCTGAGAGTTTGTTCAGCTCTTGTATTACAGCAAATGGAGAAGGACGCAGTACACAAAGTTCAGCAAAGGGTGCATAATATCCAACTAGGAAACACCCTGCAACATTTCAGTACAGAAGACCATTCAGCCCTTTGATTCAGTGTTAGTTCGTTTGAATAGCAATGACATTAGTCCCAGTCATTCCTCCTTTCCCTAAAATCACTATCTTCTTCACTTCTTTATCCAATTCTCTTTTAAAGGCTTCTACCAAATCTAGATGAATCATGCAGTGCCTTCTGAATTTTAAAGTGTGAATGAGTGTTATCAACTGTCACATCATTAGAATCAGTTTCCTTTCATTGACTCGACCAAAATAACTTGATTAAATATCCTCATGGCCTGCTCTGTTCTAGTTTAGTTAGTTGAATGGTTGGTTTGTGAAGCAGTGTGCGCCAACAGCCTGGACTGAATTCCCATCATTGACGGAGGTTACCATGAAGGACTCTCCTTCTCAACCTCTCCCCTTGCTTGAGGTATGGTGGCCCTCAGGTCAAATCACCATCAATCCTCGCTCTCTAATAAGAGAGCTGCCCTACGGTCTGGTAAGACTATGGCGTCACAACAGTACTGTTTACTGGGTTATCTAACACCGGACTACAGTATCGAACAAGCTTGTTGTTTTATCAGAGGTCCCGTGATGGTTACCTGCCTGTCACGACAGGAGTATACCAACCACAAAGAGAGTCAGCACCTGCTGAACTAGCCCCCACTCCCAGTGAGGGGCAACATTTTCAGGAACTGTGCCCTAGTGAGAGCCAGTACTTTCAACAAGTGTTCCCCAGAAAGGGTCAAGGCTCGTGATTTCAAAGGCAGATAGAAAATGTTCTAACATTGAATTGAGATTGATCCCAAAGCATAAACTGGTAACTAGTGATAAATACAAGAGATCCTTCTGGGCTAAGATCAAAGGCTAGAACGGTAACCTACGTTCCAATTGAAATGGCTGACCCATGTTAACAGGGTAAAAGCGGGTGTCCTCAGCTCCTCTGCCACGCCCATGTTTCAAGTCCACTGTTTCCTTCATGCGATGTATCTGATGATCGCCAATTATACCTGGCAGGAAATAATAGCATTTACTGAAATTAGGACAACGGTTCTCCCCACCTCCAAAAACATTCAATGCACAACAACATCCCAATATTCTGCAGTAATACAAGAGACTGGAACATAGAAATCACAGAGTTAGGTTTACATTAGTGCATTAAAAGAGGAAAGATTAGATGAAAAACAGTGGCTTTTTTTGGGGGGGGTGCTCTGCAGAATGAAGTTGAAGTTGCTGACAGCTAGGCTGCCAATGGCGAAGGAAGACGTGCAAAGGGCTAAATTGCAGGTGTGTGGACATCTTTGAGGATTATGGAGTTGGAGAAGATTGCACAGTTAAGGAGGAGTGAGGCTACAGAGGAATTTAATAACAAGGGTGAGAATTTTAAGGGATTGTTCAAGGGGGAGCCAATGTGGACTGAAATGTGATAGGGATTCAATGCAAGCAAAGGCATAAGCAACAAAGCTTGGGATAAGTTTTAGTTTATGTAATGGATGATGGCAGGCCAGGTGGGAAAGAGCCAAAATAGTCAGGTTTAGACATAACAAAAGCACCAGTTTGGTTACTGTGTTGAAATGTTTATCTAATGAGGAAAGGCTGAATCTTGACTCTTTGGAGTTTAGAACAACTAGAGGCCATTTTATTGAAGTGCACAAGGTCCTGAAGGATATTGACCTGATAGAGGTTGAGTCGATATTTCTCCCCTCCATGGGGGAATTTAGAACAAGGTGTCACCTTTTCACAATAAGGGACTTCCCTCCTGGAATGTGAGTTTAAATGGAGAGACAGCAGTCCCTGTAGGAAATACCTCGATGTCTTGGGTAACAGATAAAGACAGGGTGAGGCTTAAAACTTTCACTCATGTTCCAGGAGGGCAAACAAATGGACCCAAGGGAGACCGAGTGTGGGTAAAAATTCTAAAGGCGACATCTCCAGAAATCTGCAAGTTTATCGGTTAGTGAGAAGCTGCTGTGAGAGAGTCTAATCAGCTTAAAATGAGAAAAAGATATCATTTATAAAGAGGTGGCTATATAGATTTCAGTAAGGAGTGCTTCCAAAATTAAGTCAAAGTAAAATGAAATTACACAGTAAACCAAAGGAAATAAAGTTATGTAACTGAAGCAATGTTAAAATATGAGTAAGATTTCATAGTAAGTCTATATCTATTCTGAGTGTAACAAACAATTTTCAAGTTACAGGATGGCAAATCATCTAGATCAAATGGAGTGCACATTCTACGATGTCCAGACATAAAATATACCCCAGCAATAGTTAATGACTGCACAGGTTTGACCTCTGTGTTTTGGAATTTGAGTAGTGGCTAGAGTCTCTACTGGGCATTCACAAGGCAGAGAACTATAGCAAGATGTGGGCACACCACAGATAATAAGTTTTGAGCATGAAAAGAATAAGACTACCAGGCTATCTATAAACATTTCCCAGGTCTATTGTGCTTGCTAATCAATATTTTCTGCTTGGGAAACTAGCAAAGGCATTGTTCCTCAGGGGAGTGCAGCCAGGGACAAAACCATATAACTAAAGGCATCTTGGCAGTATAGATTTTTTTTTCTTTATTCATTGACAGGATAAGGGCGTCACTGGTTAGGCAGCATTTACTGCCCATCCCTAATTGCCCAGAGGACAGTTAAGAGTCAACCACATTGCTGTGGGTCTGGAGTCACATGTAGGCCAGACCAGGTAAGGATGGCAGTTGCCTTCCCTAAAAGGACATTAGTGAACCAAATGGGTTTTTCTGACAATTGACAATGGATTCACAGTCATCAATAGACTCTTAGTTCCAGATATTTATGGAATTCAAATTCTACCATCTGCCGTGGCGAGATTCGAACCCGGGTCTCCAGTGCATTACCTGGGTCTCTGGATTAACAGTCCAGTGATAATACCACAAGACTGTTGCCTCCCCATGATGGGATGAAAGAAAAATGGAAAGGCATCATTGATAGAGGATTCCACAATCAGGTATTTCCTGCTGCAATAAACATGACTTCAGGGTGGTGTGTTGCCTCCCTGCTGCTAGAGTCAAGGCCATCAATGAGTGGCTTCAGGCCATCCTTCTAGGGGAGTAGGATCTGGCAGAAGTCATGCTTCATACTAGTACCACTGACATTAGTAGGAAAAGGAAAAAGGTCCTGACAGTAGATTTTGGAGAGTTAGGAAGAAAATTCAAATGCAGAACCCCCTACAGCAGTGATCTTAAGATTACTCTCAGTGCCACTTGCTAGTGAGCATGAGAACAGGAGTATCTATTGGTTAAATATCTGGCTGGAGAACTGGTGTAGAAGGGAAGTTCAGATTTCTATAGGACTGAGATCAATGCTGGGGCTGGTGGGCCTGTACAAGGTGGACAGGTTACATTCTTAACAGGACTGGGACTGACATCCTCACAGGAAAATTTGCCAATGGTATTGGGGTGGATTTAAGCTAGATTGTTAAGGGAATGGGATCTTGAGGGCTAACCCAAATGGAAGGAGAAAACTTAAGGTGACTAGAAGACTAGAAACAAAATTGAGCATCAACTATGTCTCAAACGCAGACTGCAAAAGATAAAGTTAAGGATAATCTACTGGAATGCACACAGCATTTCAATAAGAAAGTTGACCTAAAGGCACAAATGGTTATGATATAATTGCTATGACAGAAACATGGCTGTCTGGTGACTATGATTGGGAACTGAATATTCATAGACATTTGACACTTAAATAAGACAGATGAGAAGGAAAAGGTGGAGTTGCACTGAATAAATGAGATAGGATCAATGCATCAGTGAGGCAGGATCTCAGTTCAGAAGAATGATTTGTGGAATCTGTTTTGGTGGAGCTCAAAACAGCAAGGGCCACAGGCATTGGCTCTAAAGAAGTCATATCAAACTCAAAACATTAACTCCGTTTCTCTCTCCACAGATGCTGTCAGACCTGCCAAGTTTCTCCAGAATTTTCAGTTTTCATTGCTACAGGCATTGGTTTTGTCACCAAATAGTACTGGCAGTGTAAGGTATGGTATTAATCAGGAGATGAGAGAAGCAAGTATCATAGGTGACTTCAACTTGTATGTAGACTGGGTAAATCAAATAAACACTAAAGTTGTGGAGGATGAGTTTCTGAAGTATTGTACAGCAACACATTGAGCAGCCAACTAGAGGACAAGCTACTTTAGATCCAGAATAATGTGATGAAAAAGGGCTAATTAACAAGTTGTTGCAAATGAACTTTTAGGCATGGGAGACCACAATATGACAGAATATTACACTTACCTTTAAAGTGAGGTAGTTTAATCTGAAGCAAGGATGTTTTGAAATTATGAAAGCATAAGGCACAAACTAGCTAAACTGGACTGGGAAAATACATTAAAAGGCAGGCTGTATATCGACAATGGGCTGTTTTTAAAAGGAACAATCACATGCCTTATAGCAATTATACATTCTTTAAAAGTGCAAAAACTCAAAAAAAATCAGTTAACTGTGGCTGACTAAAGTTAAGGATTGTATAAATAAGGTTTATAAATTGGCCATAAACAGTAATAAATCTGAGGATTGGGAAGTTTTATGAAAACAGCAAAGGAAGTACATGAAACTGATGAGGAAAGAAAGAATAGAATATGAACGCAACCAAAGCAATAAAATAAAACTGAACTTCAAAAATTTCTAAAGGTATGCAAAAGGAAAACATTTAGCCAAGACAAATGTGAGCCTACTACAGGCACAGCAAACAGGATTTATAATTGGGAATACAGAAATCGTAGAAAAGCTAAATGGTTACTTTTGTGTCTGTTTTCATTGAGAAAGGTGCAAAAATTAGATATCCAAGTGACAAGAAATAATGAGGAGCTGAAGTAATCTAGTATTAGTAAGAAGGTTATTTTGGAGAAACTAATGGGGCTGAAAGTTGATAAATCCCCAGAACTTGATAATCTATATCCTAGTTATGCGAAGAGTCTAAGAAAATGAGTGAAGTTATGCAAGGATTCAGAGAAAATGAGTGAGATTCTTAATGAGTACTTTACGTCGGTATTCACTGAGAAGAGGGACATGACGGATGTCGAGGTTAGGGATAGATGTTTGATTACTCTAGGTCAAGTTGGCATAAGG